TGGAAGGCTGAGGTGGAAGGATCGCTGGAGCCCAGCAGGTCAAGGCTGTGGTGGCCGGGAACGGTCACTGCACTCCAGTCTGAGTGACAGAGTGAGACTCCAGCTCAAAAAAAAAAAAGACTGAACCGGGCTTGGTGGCTCAGCCTGTAATCCCGCGCCTTTGGGAGGTTGAGGTGAGTGGATTGCCTGAACCCACGGGTTCGAGACCCGCCTGGGCAGCGAGACCTCATCTTTACAATAAATCAAAAAATCAGCCGGGCGTGATAGCGCATGCCTGTAATTTTGGCCACTGGGAAGGCTGAGGCGGAAGGATCGCCGGAGCCCAGCAGGTCGAGGCTGCGGTGGCCGGGAGCGGCCATTGCACTCCAGTCTGGGCAACAGAGTGAGACTCCAACTCAAAAAAAAAAAAAAAAAAATAGACTGAAGTGAAAGGCTTGCAAATTGCTAACTGCCATAGCAATCTGAGGAATGACTCAATTATTCCTGGTACAAGTGATCAGGCTAGAGTTAGACACCTAACATTCATAAGACATTATGAAGTAGTTTATGTCTAACGCCACTTACCTACAAATAAACTCTGCAACAGAATAACTGCTTCTTATCTGTTTATTAAGCCAGAACGATGAAGACAATAGACACCCACTACCCCTAATATTCTGGTCAGAATTAACTGACTACTCATTGATCTTTGAATCTAAACTTTACTCTTGAAAAATAATTTCTGAAAACTTCCCAGTCAACACAAGAAAGCTACGAACTCTGCAGAGCATCAGGGGCCTGACTTGAAGAACTCTCCATGGATGACATCTAACCCCAAGCTGACATCCAGCTCCAAGCAGTTGTGTGGAAGGGTGTGACTAAGACAGTAACATTTTCAAAATTGTTGCAGAAGAGAAAAATCAAGCAATAAAGTAAACACTGTGTATTCCTCCACACTTCTTAGTCTCTCACACCAGCTGGCTCTCTCTCTGAGCCATTCTTTCTATTCAGGAACCACCTTCTAGAACTAAGGGCAGGATGGATGCAAGAAATGCACATATAACAATGTGGTCTTAGTTGCAGCTTGAGATGGGCAGACTAAGCATTTGAGTAGGAACAGCACCAGGTTGGAACATCCTCATGAGGCCCAGGCATGAGACAGAGTCATAATTACTTTGCCAACCACTCAGACCCAGGATACCTTTTGTGTTGCCTCTCCTGAAGACTCCCTGAGAGCAGCTTGTTAATATTTGTATCCTCAGAACCTAGCACAGGCCTGGCACCCAACAGGCACTCATAAATGCCTACTGAAGTGGACAGATGGAGTTATGTAGGCACAGCCCAGGCAGCTGTTGACAGCTATTATTTTAAGAGTGGGAAAAATAAGGTCCAGAGAGACTAAAAGTTGAAGTCACTTAAAGAATATAGTCTTTGATGCCACTCACACAGAGCACGGCTGCTTCCTGTGACCCAAACCCTACTTGCCACTACTCCTCACAGTCACCTCTGCTCCATTCAGACTGGTGCTCACAGATATACCCATGCTTCCCTCCCTGCCTCATTTAGCATTCCCCAGGCCTAGCAATCCTTTTCTGATGGCGGTGTCCCCACCCATCCTTCACAAACAATCCTCAGATTGAAGAAGCCAGTCTCTGTCACTCCAGGTTCTTCTGAATTCTTTCAAACTCCTACAGCATTTACAGTCTGCACTACCAATCAATTCATGAATCTCTGTCTAATCTTCTGAAAGCGTAAATTCCTTGACACAGGGACAGGTATGACATCCCACTCTCCCAGCTAAGCATTTCGCTCCTCTGAGCCTCAGTTTCTGCATCTCTTAAGTGGGAAGGACAATAAAACTTATCCATGCAATAGCTATAAGGAGCAAATGATGGCTGTAGAACTGCTTTGGACAAGCTATAGCTGCTGTTTTTATTTGATTTTGTTTTGTTTTTCAGTTGGAGTCTCACTCTGTTACCAGGCTGGAGTGAGTGCAGTGGCATGATCATGGCTCACCACAGCCTCAGCCTCCTTGGCTCAAGTGATCCTCCCACCTCAGCCTCTCAAATAACTGGGACTACAGGTGCATGCCACCACACCCAGCTAATTTTTTTATTTTTTTGTACATACAAGGTCTGACTATGTTGCTCAGGCTGGTCTTGAACTCCTGGGCTCAAGCAATCCTCCCACCTTGGCCTCCCAAAGTGCTGTAATTAGGCATGAGCCACTGCACCCATCCAGCTGCTGCTTTTAATCATTAGCTTTGTTGTTATTTTACTTCTGCATACACCTCTCTCCCACCAACTCCCAGTGCATACTTTTAAAAGAATAACACTACATGTCAATGAAAATCACTTTTTACACTTTGTCACAACAGTACAGAATATACATTAGAATCTCATTCAGTCCACTAATCATTTATCTGAATTAAACTCAAATTACTGATGCCTTGCTTATTGGCTACCTTCATTATCTTTATGGTCAAGGTTTTTTTGTTTGTTTGGTTGTTTTTTTTTGAGTTGGAGTCTCACTCTGTCGCCCAGACTGGAGTGCAGTGGCCGCTCCCGGCCACCGCAGCCTCGACCTGCTGGGCTCCAGCGATCCTTTCGCCTCAGCCTTCCAAGTAGCCGGAATTACAGGCGCATGCTACCACGCCGGACTAATTTTTTGATTTATTGTAGAGATGAGGTCTCACCCAGGCAGGTCTCGAACCCGTGGGCTCAGGCAATCCACTCACCTCAGCCTCCCAAAGCGCGGGATTACAGGCTGAGCCACCGAGCCCAACCGGTCAAGTTTTTTTATAAGTGGTGGACACTGGGGCCTGGAAGCATATTTTTCTTCACAGGTCACAGACGGGCCACTTGTCTCATATATCCTCTTCCGCCAGAATCCCAACTCTAATTTAATTATTCTGTTATTAACAGTGATACCTACAATTTGCTGAGCTTCTACTATGTTCCAGGTACTAAACTAAATGTTTATATACATCATCTCATTTAAACCACACTATTCTGTGAATATGAATCAATATTTATCTCTCTGTCTCTCTCAAAAGACAGACAAACCATGCCTCAAAAGGGTTATACAATTTTCTGGGTCACACAGCTAAAAAATGGGCAGAGCCAAAATTCTATTCAAGTCTTCCTGACGGAAGTATTATGCTCTTTCCATTTGCTATATATTCCTGCATCCTTTATATTTGTATTTTTAAATCCCTTTTAACTTCTACCCCTCATCAACTACGTTGTCATTTTAAAAGTGTAGAACTTCCTATTGTAAAGGGGACAGAAAAGAAAACAATTCTCTAAGTTTACTGGCTCCCTCTGTTAACTGGCTAGAATTCAACATTCAACTGAAAAATGAGTTTTTGGATATGGCTACAGCAGAAGAGCACTTGAGGAGAGTAGCAAAGAAAATGAGAAAAAGAAAGGAGGTGAGACTCCAGAGAGACACTCCAGTGGGTAGGAGGGGACAAAATGTCAAAAAAGGTGGGAAAACACTCTTTGGGGGCCCAGTGTCCATTATTCCTTATAAAAGATACTATACCAGAAAGAAAAGAAAGACTCCTAAATGCCAGTTGGCCAGCAGGAGACACCACAAAAATTTTACAGGCCCCATTAAAGTCTGAAAAGTAAGCTAGAAATTTATAAGCAATGCAGGAAATAAACGAATCACTACTGTCTAAACCAATCAGGCCCATAAAGACACCAAAGGTCCCTGCTCAAAAAAGATGTTTTACCAGGCCTTCAACCAACTGGAGAAATCGTTTTAATAGATACTGATCGGGATTCTTGACAGATCACTTGGCATAAGCCACTGCCTTCCGGTGAAAAGGCAAGTTGCTTTTTTAGTAAAGAAATCCCATAGGGTGGCCACTTCAGTGTCCCTTTATCTACACTTTGGGCTATCCTTATCCCAGATGCTGATCATCTCTGGTGCCCCCAGGTACCCAGAGCCCTCCTATAGGATTAACAGATATTACTGAGTACTATCATGTCCACACTGCTACCAAAAGATTTTAGCTTTGGCAAATTTAATATTGAGGGGGAACAACAGTCAATGTACAGAGAGTACTAGAAGGAATATTTAAACTTTAGAACTTGAAGGAACTACCACAACTGTCTGTCAAACACTGTGACAGACAGGGAAACTTCGAACCAGAAAGGGCCACAAGGTCATAGGGAGAATCACTGGCAAAGCCACTACAGGAGTCCAGGCTTCCTGATCCCCAGTCCAGGGCTCTTATCATTAAATAACACAGCCTCCCTTCTTTCCTGGGAGGCACTGCAGGCATGCCATCCCCTTGCCAAGATAATCAACCTCCAAGAGCCCCTCCTCCCATTCCAGTCCCTCCTACAGCCTAGCTGAGTTGCAGCTCAAATTAGCAAGTCCTGGAGCAGGGGGCATTTTCTGGGAGGGTGCCCAGTTTGAGGACGCTGGTTCTGGCGAGGAGGGGAATGGTTGGAGAAGGAGGTGACACCTCACAAAGGGCCTGGGAGAACTGGGTCCCTGGAGCAGTGGCAGCGAGAGTGCCGGCTGGATAAGGGTACATGCAGTGGCATTTCCCAGTAGCCAAGGAGAAAGCAGACCAGCAGTTGGCAACACCTCTAGGAGAGACGGGAAGGGCTGGGCCCTGATGGGTAGGGAAGTGTGGAGCATCCCTGAGTACAAGTTGGGCCTCAGAGGAGCCCCCTTGATAGGGTGGCACTGGCGCCAGTGAGGTGGCAGCTGTGCTCCGGCAGAGGCCTAAGGATACGGATGCCCTGCCTGCCCGTGAGGTGTCACCGGCGCCCGGCAGAGGCCCAGCTCGCCTGTGAGGTGGAACGGACGCCCGGCAGAGGCCCAACGACAAGGGTGCCCTGCCCGCCCGTGAGGTGTCACCGGCGCCCGGAGGAGGATCGACGACAAGGATGCCCAGCCCGCTCACGAGGTGGCACCGGCGCCCGGCAAAGGCCCGCGGTCCCCACCAGCCGGATCAGCTGCAGCCGTCGCCCAGACGCCCGCCCCACACGCGGCCTTACCGAGGCACTGCCCCACAGGGGTGCTGAACGGGTTCCCCAGGAGGAATTCCATCTTGGGTGGACAACACGCAGCGCCCTGTCAGCCGCCGCGGTCCCCACTGTCCCCAGTCGCGCTACCGACCTGACTGACACTTGCCCCCTCCCCACCCTCAGGAACGCTGGGCGCCGGGGCCCTTGACCCCGCCCCCTTGCCGCGTCTCTATTGGACAAAACCAACAAAACTTTCCTCTGATTGGTCTTCACGCCTCCATCAGCAAAGCCCCACCCACTCCGCAGCGTCCAATTGGGCCGAGGAGCGAGCTAGGTCACCGGAGTCCTTGTCAGGCGTAGGGGCACCACCCCTGGCCCGCCTCCGAAGGAGGAACTGTGCATTTTGATTCATCTGTATCTTGGTCAATCTAGAGGATCCTTACTATTACTGGTCAAAAGATAACTCAATCACCCAAATGGGGGGGGGAAAAAGAGGTGGACCTAGGAGGATCCCCGCCCACAGAAAGAGCTGATTGGAGAAACATTTGTTTTCTTTATGGCTGGTTGGTGTTAGGAGAGTTTCCCCACCCAGCCATGTAGTCACGTGATGCGTCAACTTTCACCCAGGATGTCTACCTCTCGACTTCCCCTTAGCAACCAAGTGGCGGCGCTCGGTTCCCCAGCAACCGGGAGACTCAAGTACTGCGTGGAACCAGCCCGGTAACCGGCGCTTGAGAAGGTGAGACCTGGGAGTTGAGGCACCAGGAAAACTCGCAGGGGTAGACTGCGCCCGACTTCACTGTTTCCTGTGACCTTTTTCTCTGAGGACTTCGGCCCGGCCCTTCTCATTTGTAAAGTGAGCACGCAGATCCTCTGCCAGCCTCTTTACAGTCATGCTCAAATAGCCAAGACAAAGTCCTGGGCTTTTGATGCCTTTGGGTGAGAAATACTAAGGGAGCATTTCTTAAGGGAGCAGGGTCAGAAGGGAATTCTTTTTAAAGAGTCGAGGTCTCGCTCTGTGGCCCAGGCTGGAGCGGAGTGGTGCAATCACGGCTCACTGCAGCCTCGAACCCCTGGTGTCAAGCAAGCCTTCCGCCTCAACCTCCAAAGTATCTGGGACTGCAGGCACGCACCACCACGCCCGGCTAAATTGGTTTTTGTTTGTTTTTTGTTTGTTTTTTGTAGAGACAGGTCTCACTATGTTGCCCTGGCTGGTCGCCAACTCCTGGGCTCACGTGACCCTACCGACCTGACCTCCCAAAGTGCTGGGATTAGGAGAATGAGCCACCACGCCCAGCTGTTTTTTCGTTTGTTTTGAGATTAAGCCTTGCTACATTGCCCGGGCTGGTTTCAAACTGGCCTCAGATGCGCCTTTCACCTTGGCCTCCCAAAGTGGTAGGATTATCAGCAAGAGCCACTACGCTGTCCCAGATTTCTTTTTTTCTGAAGCGAGGTCTCAGTCTGTCACAGACGGGAGTGCAGTGGCACAGTCATGGCACACTGCAACCTGGAACACCTGGGCTGAAGGATCTACCCTCCTCAGGCTCCCAAGTAGGGTCACCATGCCCAGCTTTTTAAAAATTTATTTATTTATTTATTTACTTATTTACTTGTTTATTTATTTTTATTTTGTAGCAACAAGGTCTCACTGTGTTGCCCAGGCTGATCTCAAATTCCTGGGCTCAAGCAATCTTCCTGCCTTGGCCTCCCAAAGTGCTGAGATTACAGGCATGAGCCACTGTGTCCAGCCTTCAGAAGAAATTTTTAAGGGGTTCCATCCCCTAGCCTTCTATTTCAGAGGTACCTGGTTCATTGGCAACTCCTTTCAGAATTTAGCCATTATACGACCTCGTAATTATCAATAAATTATTTCATCTTGGTGTTGCATAAAGTTCTTTGACTGGGAATACCTATGCGCAGGTTCCATGTCTGTCAGTAACTCATTGTATGACTTTGGACTAGTTTCTTCTCCTCCCTGGGGCCTCAGGTTCCCTATCTGAGAAATAAGGGCATTAGGACTCCCTTCTTTATGGGCTTCAGAACTGACACGTAATTAAATAATGCATGTGCACTGAGTACACAGTAAGTAGTTGATTTTCTTCTTATTAATTCATGGCTAATAGGGATTATATTTTTCAGATCCAGTTGGCTTCAGGTTTTTGTTTCCCAGGAAAATTCCGGGTCTGTTTTCCGTGAAGCAGCTATTCTGTTGACAGTTGTGTAAAACTCTGCTGCTTTCCCCCACCTCCTACCTCTGGTCTTCACCAACACTACCCTCAGGCAAGTCAATGGGGACCCAGGGTGGGTGGAAAATTACTGATAAAGCCTCCATAGGGAAGACTGTGGGCCTTGGCCCTAACCCAGGACAGCTGTGACAAACACTATGAGCTGTGACAATGCTAGTTCCTAGTACCCTGGGTACAGCTGAGTCATGATTAGGAAAATAGGCTCTGCCATGTACTAAGTGTGTAAACTTGGGCATATTAATTAACCTTTCTGACTAGCTTCCATCATTTTCTTATCTGGAAACTGGGCATGATTAGCCCTACTTATAAAATAAGTTCCTAGAGATCTTTCAGATCTACCTCTTACCACCCCCGGCCATCTCGCACCTCACTACTTTTGCAGTTCTCAGTCCTGCTGCTAGAGTGAGCTTTTTTTTTTTTTTTGAGTTGGAGTCTCACTCTGTCGCCCAGACTGAAGTGCAGTGGCCGCTCCTGGCCACTGCAACCTCGACCTGCTAGACTCCGGCGATCCTTCCGCCTCAGCCTTCCGAGTAGCTGGAATTACAGGCATGCGCTACCACACCCGGCTAATTTTTTTTTTTTTTTTTTATTGTAGAGATGAGGTCTCGCCAAGTTGCCCAGGCGGGTCTCGAACCCGTGGGCTCAGGCAATCCACTCACCTCGGCCTCCCAAAGCGTGGGATTACAGGCTGAGCCACTGAGCCCGGCCAGAGTGAGCTTTTAAAATTAAAATCTGATCACATATACTTCCCTTATGAACCCCTAGGAGATTTCCAGAGATCCTAGGATAATAATAAAATTCCTGCAGACCTTTCCAACCTTGCATCACTTCAACCAAAGTGAAACATGTCTGTTCTCTCCCACCTCATGGGGAGACAGACAGGGAAACTTCAAACCAGAAAGGACCCATACAGTTCCTCCTTCTTTTTTACTTGCTCTTCAGATCAGCCCTGCCTCCCTGACCAGGCCAGGTGCCCCTAATATATGCGCTCATAGTTCCCTACACCTACAAATGGGTCATCGTTGGTAATTAAATATTTGTGTGATTATTTGACTCATGTCTGAAACAGAGGTGAGAAGATCTGTCTGTTTTATTCACAGAATGTAGTATTTACTCAGTACACACATATGAACTAAATACATGATCTTACACACAAGGAGGAGGGAGGAATTATCCACTTTTTACAGATTGGAAAGTCAAGGCTTAGATAGGTGAAGTGAGATGCACAGTCAGGATCCAAATCTGCCCTAATGTGCTCACAAATAACAACAATCCCATATTGCTTAGAACGGCAATCGCTGGGCTTGACTGAAACCAAGCTGGATCTATCACAGATTTCAGATCCTGATGAAGTGGAAGGGATGAGAAGTCAGTTAAAGTTTTGAAATCAGAATTAAGAGTCATCTCTCAAAGTATAGGACCTTTAAAAAAAAAAAGGAAAGAAAAACCAAACACTTTGCAGATAACATCTGCCAAATATAACACATTTAAATTCCCCCAAGGCAAATTGATGACAAGTTATGGGAAACCTTAGGGAAAAAGCATTTCAGAAGAGCAGGAAGCAAGAGAAGGCTGAGGGCGGGAATCATCTTTGGGGGTTGAGTCAGTCACCCTAAGAAGGTGGAGCCAGTGTGGACAGATTGGAGAGAGTGGGAGGAAATGGGCCAAGTTCTTGGAGGATGGAAGGCCCAGGTGGACAAGGGGTGGGGATTGAGGACTGTGGAGGCTGTGCTTCCTCTAGTGGCAGAAGAGAAGGATGCATGGAAGTTAAAGGCATTAGGACGTTTGATCGGGAACAGTCCAGGAACAGATGCATATTTGCAGAAACTGCATCCAGTGGATGGTGAGGGAGGAAGGAGGAAGCAGTCCCTAAGACCAGGTGATCAGATTGTCTCCCACCTGGGGTTTCAGTGGACATTATCAGCCCAGCATCAGGAGTCTCTCCAGCAGCGCTCAGAGGAATGAAAAGCAGAGCACAGGGGTTGCCCAGCATCAGGGACCAGCCAAGCAGGGAAGACAGGAGGTTCAGGAAGGCCCGGGTATGGGGGAGGCATGTGGGGGAGGCACAATTAGAAAGTGCGACCAGGCTGGGCACAGTGGCTTAAGCCTATAATCCCAGCACTCTGGGAGGCCGAGGTGAGAGATTGCCTGAGCCCGTGGGTTCGAGACCAGCCTGGGCAACATGGGGAGACCTCATCTCAACAATAAATCAAAAAATTAGCTGGGCATGGTAGCACGCGCCTGTAGGCTGAGGCTACTTGGCAGGCTGAGACGGAAGGATTGCCTGAGCCCAGCAGGTCGGGGCTGCAGTGGGTGGGAGTGGCCACTGCACTCCAGTCTGGGTGACAGAGTAAGACTCCAACTCAAAAAAAATAAAAAAGTGTGACCAGCAAGGAGATGAGAAGCAGAGGTGGGATGCAAAGGGGAGAATGGAATTTTCAGAGGCCTCAGGACACCAAATCATAGTGGCTTCCCACAGGGTCCAGCCCTTCCAGATGTACTCACCAGGAAGGCTGATGATGATGAGAATGGGGTCCAGCCAGGAATAGCAGCCCAGGCTCAGCCTCACAGTGTAGTTGGCCAAATCCACAGATCCCCCTTTGCCTGCAGTATCTCAGCCAATCCCTTCGGACCCTTAGCAACAGAAGCCTGCTGGAGTTGGCGTCAAGGAAAAGAGGATTTATCCCTGGTGGGCTAGTAGCAAGGGAAAAGAAGAGAAGAAAACCAGCATTTAATGTGAGAAACTAGGAAGGGACATCAGGGACTGGAAGGCCAGCAAGAAGGAGGCGGCCTCTGTCAGTCCGTCCGTCTTTTGTCTTTTATTTTCAGGATCACCCAGCTCCCACCTCTGCATCTCTCTGTGCGTCTGCCTTGCCCCGCTCTTGCTTTCTCTGAGTACCACCTGCCCGGCTAGCCCATACTCCCTGCTTTTCCTCCCCAGCTTACGCAGCCAACTCCAATGGGCACTCTCACCTTGCAGCATAAGTTCATGTTTCCCAGGGAGAGGACACGAACGGCCAGCCTGGTGGCAGGGAACAGCTTATGGAGTGGCAGGAGGTACACACATGATTGCCTGGAGGGAATGAGGCACCAGGGAATGGAAGTAGCAGGCTGGCGTACTTGACTGGAGCTGCCAAGGGAGCATAGTCGGTGACTGGTACCAACAAGCCTGAATGAGGATGGGCACAAAAACCCAGAGCCTGACACAGGACCACAGCCATAAGGGGTGCTGAGAGCCACAGGCTAAGGAGGCCACTGTGGACACCAGTCCAGCGGGCCCAGGTAGGGCCCCAACTGTGGTTGTCGTGTCAAAGGACAAACCCCTATGGACAGACACAGGTGGTTCCCAGGAAGCTCCAGAGCAGCTTGGGTGCCAGTGTACTAAACCCAAGGTTCAGCAGGCCAGAGACTGGGAGTGGGACTGCCCTCAGAGTGACCGTGGCTGCCATGACCTTCTACCACACCTTGAGGAAAAACTTCAGCCAGACCCTGTTCTCAAACAGAGGAAGCAGCGGGCTGTGAAAGTGGGATGCGATGTTTTTCAGGGAAGCTGTCGGGGAAGATGAACCGGCTGTGCGACTCAATGGAACCAAGAGTGATGGATGACGACATGCTCAAGCTGGCTGTGGGGGAGCAGGGCCCCCAGGAAGAGGCTGGGCAGCTGGCCAAGCAGGAGGGCATCCTCTTCAAGGACGTCCTGTCCCTGCAGCTGGACTTCCAGAGTGTGTATCCTGGAGGGAGGAGAGTGGTTCTGGGTGGGCCCCCCTGGCTTTTTCTCCTCCATCTTCAAGCCCCAGGATTCCACACCATATCCATGGTCGAGGGCCCCACATCAGCATTAGGGCTCACATGGGTTATAAGAACCCTGTCTCCACCCTGAATGTGAGGTTCTTTTTTTGTTGTTTTTCTTTTTCCTCTAACCTCTGCATTGGTGAATAAATGTGTGGTCACTAGCAGCACTAATTTCTTAAATCCCTTTCACTCCTGTATTTCAGTTATTTTGTATTTATTTGTATAAGATTTTTCAAAGTCTTTTTTTTTTTTTTCCTGAGGCAGGGTCTCATTCTGTCCCCAGGCTAGAGTACAGTGGCACGATCACAGCTCACCATAGCCTTGTTCTGGGCTCACGTGATCTTTCTGCCTTAGTCTCCTAGCCAAGCAACTGGGACTACAAGCATGCACCACCACACCTAGCTGAATTTTTTTATTTTTTGTAGAGAAGAGGTCTCACTATGTCACTTAGGCTGGTCTCAAACCCCTGGGCTCAAGCGATCCTCCTACCTCAGCCTCCCAAAGTGCTGGGATTACAGGTGTGAATCACCACGCTCAGCCTGAAGTTTTGTTAATAAAGGTATTTTTCTTAGTATTTCAGTTCTTTTCCGGGAGTGGGGAGTCTCACTCTGCTACCCAGGCTAGAGTACAGTGGCAACAATCACAGCTCACTATAGCCTTGAACTCCTGGACTCAGGTGAACCTCCTACCTCAACCTCCTGAGAAGCTGGAACTACAGGTGTACACCACCACACCCAGCTAATTTTTATTTTTTTTGTAGAGACAAGGTCTCACTATGTTGCCTATGCTAGTCTTGAACTTCTGTGCTCAAGTAATTCTCCTGCCTCAGCCTCCCAAGGTGCTGGGATTACAGGCATGAACCACCACACTCAGCCTGTATTTCAGTTCTTTTAATAAGTATATTGTATTAGCTTTGAAATCATTACAAAAGCAACTATAGAAAAAAGAGGCATATAAACAGATCTATATGTAGCTTCTGAGAAGAACTGGCAGACAGGTTTAGACTTTAGTATTTTACATATACAGTATATATTTCTGTATACTTATGTGTTATTTAGAACTCTCCTGGCTGCCGGTAACAGAAAGCAAACTCTGGCTTACGTAGCAAAGAGAATTAGTTGGCTATGTAGCTAGGGTGGGTGGCCTTCAGGGACCCCAAAGTCTGGGTGCTCCCATGATATCAGGAACCTGCCTTTCTATTGTGTGGATGACTTATCCTGTACCTTACATGTGGACATTTGGGGGTGTCTCCTATTTTTCTACCCCTCATGTGCTTGTAGTTATTCTTCTGGATACATATACAAGTGTGTCTTTGGAGACAGATTCCAAGTAGAAAAACTGTAGGTCAAAGGGCACCACATTAAATTTCTTTTTTTTTTTTGAGTTGGAGTCTCATTCTATCACCCAGGCTGGAGTGCAGTGGCACATTCACGGCCACTCCAGCATCGACCTGCTAGCTCAGGTGATCCTTCCACCCTAGCCTTCCAAGTAGCCAGAACTACAGGCACGTGCTACCATGCCCGGCTAATTTTTTGATTTATTGTAGAGACGAGGTCTCACCAAGTTGTCCAGGCTGGTCTCGAACCCCTGGGCTCAGGTAACCCTCTCACCTCAGCCTCCCAAAGTGCTGGGATTACAGGCTTGAGCCACCTTGAGCCATTGCACCTGGCCAGCATTAAATATTTCAATAAATGTTGCCAAACTACTCTCCACAAAGGCTGAACTAGTTGATTGGCCCTCCCACCAAAAGAGACACATACTTTGATTCTATTTGTCACATTGTGGAAGGAAGGGCCCTTCTTATATCCTGTGTCCCAAGGTATACCAGCCTCCTGGGGAGCCCCTGGCCTGGCCCCACAGACAGCACAAGTGAGTCTCCTGCCCAAGACAGGTCCAGCCAACCCCCACAGTGACCACCCCTTATACCCACGTCCTCCTGTAGCTCTGGGTAGCAGCACTGATCCTCGCCTACTCCGCACGCTAATAGGGATATGGTGCTCCTCCTGTACAGCCCCCACCTCCAGGGCACCTGTGTACTCCAGGGCACAGCAGAGGAGTGGCAGAGTCTTTTGTACAGTTCCATCCTACAACATGCTGGCTCAAAACTCTAACCCCAGCCCCTGGCTGAATCTCCTCTGATTGTTTCAGACATCCTTCGCATTGACAACCTCTGGCAGTTTGAGAACCTGAGGAAGCTGCAGCTGGACAATAACATCATTGAGAGGATCGAGGGCCTGGAGAACCTCACGCACCTAGTCTGGCTGGGTAAGGCCCTTTCCTGTGCCTGTCCCTCCTAATCGAAGGTGACTCCCTGCCAGGGTTATTGCCTCCCCAGGAGACAGTAATCATGCATGACACTCAGCTGCCGGCCACTCATTAGCTGAGGTACAGCAGAAGCTCTGTCTGCTCAGAGCAAGAAAGCTGCTATTAAAAAAAAATCAAACCTGGGGCTTATGCTGAGCAGAACATAGCAAAGATGTTCTTAGACACACTAGGCAGAATATTCCACTCCCTCCTGCTCTACCTCTCAGTCTGGGCGGGGCAGCTATGAATTCCTATTTAATCTAGACTCAGGCTGAGACATAACTGTTGACAGATAAACATTGGCTGGTGGGGCCCATATCAAACCAGCAATAATCATCACAGAAGCTAGCATGCATCGAGCACTGAAGTACATGCCAAGTGTGGGTCCTTGTGCTTTCCATATGAGCCTTTCAATTCACACAACATCCCCATCATAGAGATGAGCAGCCTGAGGTTGCAGCGAGTAAGTGGGGACATCGGGCTCTGAGCCCACTGCATCAGGCCTCACTGCCAAGGCCATGGGGGTTTTGATGAGCTGTGTCCACCTGCTAGCCTCTTAGGAGCATCCTCACATCTAGGGAGGGACAGGTGGGCACCAACAGGGAGAAGGAGATGGGCCCGAGAGTTCTTTATGCACTCTGTCTAGTTTTAGTCCCTGTGTCCATCCTAAGAGATGGATGTCTGTTATGACACAGAAGAGGAGCAGAGGTTTAGAGAGCCCTGGGCGCTTGCCCAAAGCTGCTCAGTCAAGAGGTAGCAGAGCTGTAACTCACACCCATGCCTGTCTGACCCCACAGCCCACGTTCCCTCCATCCTGTCAGGTTGCCTCCAAGTAACAAGGGCAACCTGGGACAACGTGTACCTCCCAGTTTGCCAAACTCTCAGCTACATTCGTGCTCATGATCACAAGCTCACAGCAACGCCATGGGAGGATTATGCTGCTATTTTACAGATGCAGCAACTGGGGCTCAGAGAGGCTGATCGGCTTGATGGAATCAGGTGCTACATGTAGCAGAAGCAGACCACAGCCAGGTCTTCTGACTCCCAAGCCCAGGTTTCTTGCCCCAGGTACCCCTCCTCATACCCTAGCATCCATTAATGCTGATTCCTGAGCTCAGTGGCCCATCTGCGTCACCAGCAGTGATCTGTTTCTGTAGAAGACCAAGACAGTGGGCCTGACTGTCCTGAAGGTACCTGGACCAGCCCCAGCCCCTGAGCCATGCCCCTGCCCCCTGAAAGTCTGCACAGACTGTCTGAATGCCATGGTTCTGAGCAGGAGCTACCCGTCTGTCTCTCAGACATAAAGCAAGCGCCAGGAAGCCCCACAAGTCCATTTCTCTCTGCTCATCCAGAGAGAAACTTGAATATTCATCCTGATTCCCTCCCTAACAAAAGCTTTTCCCCCTCCACCTGGAGCTCCTGCACACAAAGACAAGAAGTCAGCCCGTTCCCAGACACCTCGCAGAGGCCACCGTGCTTCCAGGGGTCATGTCGATGGATGCCCAGTGCTCCCTGGAATGGGGGTGCAAGAACAGGAGGGCGAGTTCTGGTATGAGGTCACATTATCCCCTCAGAGAACAGTTAGAAGCAGGCCTTGATCCAGCCATAGCACTACCCGCCCAGGGACCCAACCTCACCCAGAAGAGCTGAGGGTGTGGGGGAGGAGATAGCACACTGGTGGTTCAACACAGCCCCCGTAGCTTCATGCGCAGGCCCTGCTGGCTGCTCAACACAGTCACTGCCACAACCTGAGGGGGTGCTTGAGCTAGCTAGTGCGGGTCCTAAAAGCTGGCTGTACACATCTCTTCCCAACTTTGCTTCCTGGGATGCCATGTCGGTAGCCTGAAAGTAGCATGATGGGAGTATTTACACCACAGAAATCAGCAAGTACTACAAATCATGGCTTCCCCCACCTCTCCTCATTAAACGTTTGTTAGGTGGGTGAGCCAAGATTCCCAAGAGCAGAACCAGGGCACGGTGGGAGAGGAAGTATGCTGGCTTGGCATTTGGTAGGCCTCAGTTCAAATCCCAGTGCTGCCAACATACTGACTTTGCACAAGGCATTGGCTCTCTGAACCTCAGCTTCTTTATGTGTGTGCAATCTTGAGCATTATACCCATGAGGCCATTTGAATCCCAGCTTCCTCATCTATTAAATGGGGATGACGATACCCCTGCTATGAGGATGAAATAAATACACATAAAGAGCCTGGAAAAGAAACAAGACAAAGAGTCATCCTTGGTCTCAATGTCAATAAATGAGCATTCTCTGACATGCATTAAGATATTATTATATTAATTCCCCAAATCACTTTTTGAATGTGATCACTGCGCCTGTCATGGTCATATAGCAAAGGCTGGGAAAAAATTCCATCTTGGCCTCTAGGCCACTGATGTCCCAGGACAAGCTTACAGCCCTACCAGTCAACCAATCCTGAAAACCTGTGGCGGGGACCAAGTACTTTTATTTTCAAAGATGTGGAACTCGGGCTGTGGAGGATTCTGAAGTCCTGGTTGGGGCTGGGGTTGGGGTTGGAGTTGGGGAGGTAACCTGGGTCAGCTGTGATGTAGCTGAAGAATTTGACTGGCCGTGTTTCTAGGTAGAAGCCCTAGATGAATGCTGGCCCCACTGTGATTAGCTGTGTGGCTTTGGGGAAATCACTGAGCCTCTCTGAGCTTCCACTTCCCAAATGACCAAACAGGGAGAAAAATTCCCAACTATCACTCAGGGCTGTTGTCAGAGGATATACACCCAAGGACTGGATAAACTGTTCAATGCTAAGCAGATAGGAGATGGTCTTGCTAAAATGCCACAGGTGTGAAGGAAGGGGAACTCCATAATTATCTGCCCCTGACTCCCAAGGCACACTGCTAGGAAGTATCTTCATCCCAGAACTACGACAGAGCGTGGACATGAGTATTTGTCCATGTGTCCCCAGCCAGGAGGACAACTGGCAGAACTGGAGAGCATGGTGAGCATTTGAGGCTGCAGGAAAGAATCCATGTCAGACTTCTAGAAAATCCTAAGCTGTCAGAAAGTGAGACTCTGGCTCCCTGAGCACTGAGTAGCTCTCATGGTTTTATTTCCAGCCAGCCCATCTCCTAACCCAGGCAGCAGAACCTCACAGCCCTCCTCCCTTCCCAGATTTGTCCTTCAACAACATCGAGGCCATTGAGGGTCTGGACACGCTGGTGAACCTAGAGGACCTGAGCTTGTTCAGCAACAGGATCTCCAAGATTGACTCTCTGGATGCCCTCGTCAAGCTGCAGGTGTTGTCCCTGGGCAACAATCAGATCGGCAACATGATGAATGTGAGTGGCTGGGTGTGGGCATGCCCGCAGGGGCTCAGACAGAGGGTGGCTGAGTGCCATGGGTCGGGGGGCGGGCGTCTGTGGCAAGGGACGTGCAGGCTGAGTGTTCCAGATCTTCCCCTTTTCCTGGAAAAGTCAGAGATCTGGATTGTTCCAAAGAGATCTGATAATGTTTAAAAACCATGGTTAACCCAACAAAATCTATCTGTGGGTACCAGTTTACAACCTCCACATCTGTGGAGTCACTTTCTTTCCCTGAGCCTTGCACTCATGTAACAAAATTTGCTGAGGTGAGGACCTATTGAATGTGGGGCATACATCCTGTGCTCAGTGGGTACAGAGATAAGACAAGCTGTGGTCTGCATAATCAAGACACAAGGAACACGAAGCTGGTGTCTCAAGGAATAATAAAACCAGGCCTGTTGGTGGAAGGAGAGCACCCCAAGGTGCCAGGGGTGTGTATGAGTGACAGTGGACACTGGTATCTTGGGGAAGGTGAACTGTCCCCCACACATCCCCACAGTGGGCTCACAGCAGAAATCCTGGTGGCTGAAGGGGTATCAGCAGCCATAAGGGCCCTGTGTCAGAGGTCGCCCAGCAGTGACCTTAGCTGAGGTCCTTTCTTTGAGCATCAGATGAGAGGTGTCTTTATTTAGACTTGTTCAAATTTTGCCATCAAGCAGAAGGAAAAAACTTCCCGTGAGCAAGGCCTGGAGGTGCACTTGGGAATGCCTGCCTGCGCAGCACCATCAAGGAAGCCCCTGGAAGAGGTCAAGGGTGTGTGGTACAGGTGGGGCCCAGGGTGTGAGCTGGGGCCTTGCTACAGACAATGGGACGACCAGAGAAGCAGTGGGAGCCAGAGGCCTCTGTGTTGAGGCCTGTTCAGGGCAGGTCTACACTTAGGAAGGAATCCCCCACCACAATGGTAAATTTGAGGGGGGTCATGTGAATGGGTTAGCCCAGAATGCTGCCACCAGAAAGGTGTGACCAGAAAGGATGCTGTGTCTGCAGGTATCAGAAAAGCTCACCCCAAACTAGCTATAAGCAGAGTGAGGCAGGGACTTGGGCACAGGTGGTTTATTTGGGAGGGGGCCTCAGGAAGCTAGAGCAAGCAAGCCAGAGAGAGGAAGAACCAACACACGTGTGTCACTGAGGCTGGGCCTCGGAAGTACCCAGGATGCTTTCTAACAGACCACCCGAGGACTGGAGCCTAAGGCATTGATCCTAAGATAGCTGACGGATATCCCAGAGGGATTAACGTACTCCCACCTGGCTTCCGGGCTGGTTGGGTTTCAGTGCTTCAGAGACCTCTCTGAGGCAGAAAGTGAGTAAAGAGATGGGATGCTGCTGGCAAGAATCTATTCTGTTGCTGCTGAAGTCAGAGGTAAGCTGAGCACCCGCTGTGAACAACAAGGGCATTGAGTAGCATGGTTATTGGCCTGTGAGGAGGGGGCGCTTCTCAGCAGAGCTTCAAGGACAGACGCAGGTTTCTTCTGCCTCTGGACTCTGCTGTCCTCAGCATCTCCCCAAGGCCGATTCTCTTTGTGGTTGCAGTCAAGGTCACGAGCTTCCTTGTCTACGTATAGCAGGACAGAGAGAACAAGAAATCTCTCTCCAACAGTGACCTTGCAGTCTAATCAGGCCATCTTATCATGGCTGCAGACAGCCAGGTTGTAGGCTTAGATGAAGGGCCCAGGGTGGGTCTAGCACTGAGTTGTGACCCGTGTATTTCATTGGTTTTTTGTTTTTTTTTTTTTTTGAGTTGGAGTCTCATTCTGTCGCCCAGACTGGAGTGCAGTGGCTGC